GCACTTAGAAACAAGCTTTTAAAAGTGTTTTTGCAGAAAATGTTTGCATTTTAATCCTAAAATAAATATACCAAGCTAACTGGCTCTTTGAAGAAGTATTTGGTTTACAAATTTTGAAAATAGAAGTAGCAAGAAGAGTATGAAATTTTACAAGAGGAAGCTAGACTGTAAATAAATACCATGATGACTGCTCATAGCAAGTATGAGTAGGTGGGTTTTTAAAAGCTAGTTATATAGATATGTTTTAAATATGAAGTAGTTCCTAGATAACATGTCTGCAAGTGACTCCCAAGACAGAGTAAGTGCAACAACACACACGGACTTTATGTGGCACACAGACTTGAAGTCTGTGCATAAATGGATGTATAATGAATGCTAATTTAGATGTCATAAAAAACAAACCCACAAATTCAGTCACAGATATACCCAGTGGAGTAATTATTGAGATGAAAAGGCCCAGCATATGATGTGACACAGTCTAGGAGGGACATGGGCTTGTATGTCACAGGACTATTCATGCATCTGGTGAGCCTGGGAAAGGGTAAAATGACGTGGTTTTCTGTGCTGCCTGCTGACTTGTTCACCTGAAGCAATGCCAGCAGAGCCAGCCTGAAGTGTGGTGGATTGTAAGCAGGAACAAGGCTGATGTGAATTGTAGGAGGTGGGGGCAGAGGAGGGATTTTCAGCGTCTGTAAATGTTTTATCCAGCGTAGGTGCTGCGTTCATCGGAGTGATTTATCAGTGTTAGGTACTGGAAATTTTTCCTGGCTTAATGTTTTAAGATTTTTATTCCATCTTCATGGATGAATTTGTGTCTTGGGAATTACACTCTAAGAGGGGATTTGGAGTCTGCATATCTCAAAACCCGAGAGAGCAGGGAAGCAAACAGGCTCTGGGCTTGGCTCTCCAAGCACGGGCGTTCCCAGGGACCAGCTAACGCAGCCCGAGACCCTTATTTTCAGCATTTAAACTCACCCATGCAGAATTATCATTTGCAATCAGTCTTTATTTCTTTCTGAAAAATGGTTCTTGTGTCCTTTCTTAATTTTTTTGAGATGGGGTCCCAGTGTAGTTGTGTCTGTAGGAGGGCTGCACTGCCCTCTCTGTCTCAGAGGTGCTTTCCGACGCTGCTGATTTATACGACATCATTATGAGTAACCAGTGTAAGCTTGGGCTGAAATACACAGCTGACATGTGAGCAACGTGTGAGGAACTGCAAATTTGAGGTTTGTACCTGAGGGACTCCTGCTCCAAATGAGAACAACTGGTGGTGAGGGCAGTTTAGTAAAGCCAAGTACTTATCTGATAAACAAGGTTCTTATAGAAGTGTATGAAGGTTATGTTGTCCCTTCTGATTCCTGAACCCTTGTCATAAATGCATTAAATGTGACAGATCTTACATTACTGTCACGATCTTGGAAAGCAGTCATTGCTCAACTGCCTTATGGGATTTCTTTCTGGGTCTTACATAAACTTTTTTAAAAACAGCCAAGTGCCTGATTTTCTAAGGTGTAACATATCTTAGGACTGATAAATATCTATTAATAGCTGTTTGTAAAGGAAGTTGGATGCTCAAAGTAATTTACTAACTTAAAGCAAAAAAAAAATCCTCATTCATTCTGATAGTTGGCTATTTTAGGTTGTTTTTCTATTTTCTGATTACTGTATCAATCCTAATGTATGAACACGTCTCCATGAGCGTGCTTTTCCAAATACAGTCATCAAATAATCTGTAAAGCATTTCAGTCTGTCACACCAAGAAGACTGAAAAAATAAAGTGTTGGTGGTGATGAGAGTGTCAAAGTGAGCTGTATAGACTGTGTTTGGAGCAAAGGTAAAGAATGAGGCTGAGTTTCTTAGGTATGTGCTCTGATTGAGCAGAGTGGTGGTGGACAGGGATGAAATAATTGTTTTATCTGCTGTTGAACTGCGGTGGGGGTCAGGTGCACAACTATGACAGAGCTTTTAGAAATGCCAGTCTGTAATCCCCAGCTGCTGGCTTGTGAGGTGATCAGATGTTCACAGCCCAGGTAGTGAGCAGGGTGTCACCAAAAGCTGAACAGGCAGTGCTTTGCCTTCAGAGGCCAACCCCCTCGTGATGCAGCAGAAAAGAAGACTCTGGTATTACTGTTTGCCATGCTGTAGGTGTGAATGAAAAGAAAACTTAAGCCTTTAGGACTGGCAATAACACCACTTTTATTAAGTTTCTATTGAAGGACTATTTTGAGTAGGATAAATTGATGGGACTGAACACAATAACCTTCAGTATCTCACTCTCAAATACTTAGTAGGCAAGCGCTACCGAATAAGCGAAGAAAGCTAAGATGTGGGAAAAAAGGTTACTTGGCAACATCATAGTGTTTGTAAAGGAGAGAAAGAAGGGTCAGGAACTTAATGAATTTTGATTATAGAATTTTCTGTAAGTGAGTCATTGCATGAATAGAAAAATCCGAAACCAGATTTTGGTGTCCTACTCTAATAGGGATTGCCTCAAGCAAAACAGGGCTGGCTTGGAAGCAAACTGCAGAGAATAGCAAAAGCATAGCTGCTGTGTACAAACAAAATTGGACTCCCCAGGGGCAGGCAGTGCTGGCCATAGCTCAAGCAGAGATTTCTCTGAACAAGGTATGTGTGTGGTGGTGATGAAAGCAAGTGTTTATTTTTTGTGTTGCCTGGAATGAACACACTTGGAAGTGGGGAAGTGTTGATTTGGGGACCCTCGTGTTTACTGTGTGACATAAGATTGAAAAAGTTGGGGCTTAACTTCAGTATTTGGAAGGAAGGCACCAAATACAAAAGGACTGTGGCCTATAATTACAGTTCTGCCCACCTTGGCAGGGCAATTTCATTGGGTAAATGAATTTTTCTCTGTAATAATAACCTTATTAATTTCAGACCCTTGCAGAGAAGAAAAAATCCATTGATTGTTTCTGCAGTGGTAACCAGCTGCAAGGCTCAGATAATTGTACCTGGTGCCTTGGGTGGAATAGGAGGTACAATACCAAGGCCAAAAAAGCCACTTGTCTACTGAAATAACCTTTTCCCATCCAGTCCAGCCAGCAGCAGAATCTCTTTTTAAAGTAAACTTCATCAGAACCTGAATTCTGGCAATTAATTCAGCGGCCCACAGCAAGCAGACATGGTATTTTTATGGTAAATACAGATTGATTAGAAATTAATTATTTACTGAATAATTAATATATAATTATTTACAAATACTAACTATGGTACCTAGGAAAATGCAATGTAACAAATATCTCCCCTATAGCCCTTCCCCCACTAATACTTTAGCTGTTAATATTCTGACAAATATAATTTTTTAGAATAAATTCTAACAAAATCAAGTTAGATTCTGACTTGGTAAAATCTTGCTAGTAAGTGCATTCCTGGGGGCATTTTTCCATTGGAGACCAGGACATACCCACGTGGAGTTTGATTTCTGGAACCACTCTAAATCTCCCCAGTGCAGGGAACTGAATTGCACACTGGAATATACTTCTGGTTTTTCTCACCTATGTAGGGAGCTGAAGTTGCAAACACAGGTAGAAGTTTTCACACAGTTCAGTGTATAGCAAATACTAAATACTAATTTAGTTTACAGTTCAGTAAACTAGAATAATACTTCAAAAGCCTGTGTTTTTCTTAGGGTTTTTGCTTTATTTTCTACTGCTGATCATACATCTCAATACAACTGTGGGGATTTAAGACAAAGAGATTCACAGTGACGTGTGATAATTGTTTTTCTTTTCAGTGTGGAGAGCAAAACTAATAAAAGCTGTTTAATTTTCTGTTTACTTTCAGTCACTGATTTTTTAATGTCTGTTGTCTTAGAACAGCACTGTTTGGATGCTTTAAAGCACTTAGAGCTTGGTTTCACTGCTCTGATAGCTTGAGATGTAGGTGGACTATTATTCTGACATAACTCCTAAATACCTCAAAATTTCTAGTCGAAGCTAAGCTCTAACCATGATCAAAGTGGCACATCAATTGGAATGAGTTGAAGCTTTGTGGAATTGGGATGGCGTTTTCTGTGGCACTAATCCAGATGTTGTGCTATTCAAGTGCTGAGCAAATCAAATTACGGTAACTCTGCAGAGAAATAATTGCTAGTCTGAAGTAGGCAGTGGGTTGCCTTCTGTATTTAAGTTATTCTGCTACAAATTAGAACTTCTAACCACCAAGTATGCATAAAGCATTTCTCGTGCCTATTATTTTTTTCTGTTCTGCCTCAATAAGATAAAAAAAGACAAAACTTCTATGCTCACGTGCAGTTGATAAGATCAAATTACCAAATGTAGCTTGCAAATAACCAGCTGAATTAAATTTTTAACATCGTTGGCTGTAGAAAAAAAATGGTTTTTTCTGTGGTTGCTTAGTGCTCTAGCATGTTAGTTCCTGACTTTATAGATTCTGGGCAGATGAGCTCAGGATTTTCTGTGAGTTTAAGAAGTTATCATTAGACTCAGTTCTGCAGTTTCCAGGCTTCATCAAAGCACTCCTGGATGTACCTGATTGTGTGTAAACAAATATTCGTGCTGGAATCTGTGGGAGTGCCTATGCCCTTGAACAAAATCAGCTGCTAAGCTGCCCAGCTCGAGTGAGAGCCTGTTTTTGGCCCACCTGTGAAACCTGTTATTTAATGGCATAAGGCAGATGATGGAAAACATATATCTGAATTCAAAGTCTCTTTAAATCCATTTTTTTCCAATGTTTAAACTAACTTTAGTGTCAGAAACTGGCCAAACCTTGTGTATATTCTAATATTCCTTCCTTCCTTCCCAGGTAAGTATTTAAGAAGCACTGTGGTCCCTGCTGGACCTTTGGTAGTGCTGTGTTGCAGAGTCCTTTCAGCACGGTGTGTGTAAATGTGTGTGTGTGTCTGTATGTGTGTGTGTGTGTTCTCACTTTTGCAGAGAGAGATCTGTGCTGATACCTGAAATAATAGATGTGAGGGGTTTTAACCTTGTAACTGTTACGAGCTCTTTATGTGTCTGCTTTAGGGTCGACCCTATCCCATATGACACTCCAAAACCAGCGGGCCACACGCGATTTGTCTGCGTCTCAGACACGCACTCCAGAACAGATGGCATCCAGATGCCTTATGGGGACATCCTTCTGCACACGGGCGATTTCACCGAACTGGGACTGCCCTCAGAGGTTAAGAAGTTTAATGACTGGTTAGGTAAGGAATTACTGCGTTTTGGTGACCCCAATTAACCTCTCCTGTCCAAGTGTCAGTCACTGCCTCCTAATTGAATTAGAGCACTTGAAAATCTCCCCCCACCACCACCACCCCCTTACTTCACTTGTCCTCATGTGATGTGCTGTTTCTAGCCTTGGTCTGATTCCGTTAATTAAGACAAATTTAGATGCTTTGCTGTATTTTTGCATTATTTTGGGGGGAAAAGATTCTGTCATTCCACGACAAGAACCATGTAGCCCTACGAGCGTGCCGAGGAGGTGGTGGCACCTCATATGAATGCATACAGTGTCCCATTAGTTGATGCTGGGGGGTTTTATAACCACAGCCAAAACTGTTGCTCACTGTATTTTTGGGTTTACCATAACTTAAAGCAGCACTGGAAGCTACAACATAATTGGAAACGATGAAAGTCCTTTTTCCCGGGATATAGTATGACAGAATCAATAATGCTGTTTGGAAGAGGAGAGTTTTTATTCAGGTGCTTGCCCCTTTGAGTTAGAATACTGGCATTTTAAGTTGGACCACAGGCAGTCAGCCTCCCTTTGATAGAATACTTTTCATACTCTGCTGTATTGGACAGCAGTGCCTCGATACTGCTGGAGTTGAGGGCAATTAAATTGCAACAGCAGAAAACCAAAATGAGGGAGGGGAAATTGTACAGGATGCTCCTGTTATAAATGCCACTGGTAGCTGGCTGTGTACTGCCATGCCACCTCTTGCACTAGAAGCACTCAGAGTTGAAGGTGACTCAAGCAACTGATCTTCAGGAAACATTAGAATGAATTTACAGCATTATATAAAAATCTTTCAAAGCGTAGCTTTGTGACCAGGCTTTACCTCCGTCACTGCACTCCCTTGCCTGCTGTGTGACGGCTGCATCTCCACAGGCCTTTAATAGCATCATTTCATTCCATTAGAGTTCCTTGGCTGACCCTTCAAGAGATATGTAAAGAACTTTTAGATTTACAAAAGGAAATAGAAGAACTTCCCCGCTGTCTGTCTTTTCATCCTCCTTTGCATTTCCTCCACACTGTTCTTTTTACCTGACCTCCTCTGATTTCCACAGCCCAGTTTTAAAAGAGTGTTTTTCCTTCCTTTTATTGCTGTGCATGTGGGGCTGGGGCCTCCTAATACTGCCTTATCACTGCAACTTAGTTTTATTGTTCTTACTTCTAGAAAGCAGTACTAGATTCGATAGGCTCAAAACTATCCTTTTTCTGGGAATGGGAATTTAGAAGCAGTAGGAGAAGCAGGTAGATATGTCATAGGATGAGGGAAGAGACAGCAGGAATCATCTTCCTCAGCTTTTGAATGTTCTTTGTGATAATGTCTAAGTGTTAGTGTTGTGAAGGAGGAGGAGCAAGCAGGTAAGGAGTAAGCAAGGGAATGGCAGTGGGAGGCTGCACAGCTTCCCTGGGAGTGGGATCCTGCCCAGCTCCAGTCCTCTAGAGAGGCTGGGCAGCACTGCTGTTCAACAAGGTTCTGTTATTATGCATACCAAGTAGCTCCAGAGAAGGAATTGCCTTCTGGAGATTCCAAAGTCTGCCCTGAGTGCACTGCTGACAGCAGTGTCAGGCCACCAGAATTCCTCTTTGGACTCCGAGTAATTGCACAAATGTTATTTTGACACAGCCACAGCCTGTGCCCAGTGCTTGGCATTTGAAAGCACTGACTTAGTGCTGCAGAAAGCCAAATCAAGTAATCTGCTGGGGGGGGTTTCACCCTTTGGTGGGGAATCTTACAGTATGGGCAGCCACTTGGAATTCCTTGTGTTTGACAGGTGTTTCAAGGTGATGTTATTTTATCACATAGGTCCTTGGCTTAACATTTGCAGCAGAAGAATTATTGGATGGGTTGTGTTCCAGCCTCAATAATTTACCATGGGACTTTCTTAGCATATATGTATAGCTGTTGTAGAAGTCAGTATAGGATTTACCTGAGGAAGCAGATTTTGCATGCTTTGGCAGTCAGATTGATTGAAACTGGAAGCTTTGACTTTGGGAGGACCCACTGGCTTTGGGCTCAGGCTTTCATATTTCAGGTGCAGAGAAAACCTTTTGTTTTACATGCACAGAGCCCACTTGCATTTTCCTCTATATGACAATACCAGTTTTCTGGCATAAAGTGAGACAGCAAATTGATTCCCCTGTGAAATCTTGCCACGTTGGTCAAAACTTGCTTCAGTGCTGTCCCTTCCTCACCTGGAATCAAAACACTGAAGTCAGGCACATACTTTTGCCACTTTATTTCAGGCTCCTACCTACAAAATGGGTAATTGTGTTTTACCATTTTCTGTTTTACTGTTTACGGTGTGTATTGTGAGGATTTAATACCTTCAGTGTTGTGAGGTGATGACATGCAATAGTTGAAAAAATACATACCAGTGTACAGGAACAAGTGGGATTCCTTTTTCTTCTGCTGTATGGTGGGAGGCATGTTTTTTCATCATACTTGGTAGAAAGCTCATTCCAAAGCAACATGCTGAGAACTGCCATCAAATATGACGTTGTCCCTATAGAAAAGTGTTTTCCTGTCTTTCATGGGCGTGGTTTTCTCCACTGGCAATTGTGTTGTGAAGCTGTGATGAAGACAATGCACCTGTATCATTTGTGCCATGAGGGAGAGAAGTGAGATCAAAGCTGGGATTCATTCTGCAGCTTATCTTACCTACTCTGTGGTTAAAAAACAGGGGCTCATCTCCACTAGGACTGTATAATGGAATAACTAAGACACAAAGACAAAGCCCGTGTTTTTTTTGGCAGTAAGGCCAAGAGGAAAGTTGAGATGGTTAATTCTGAACTCCTGCTTTGCTTGTACTTCACTGAGCATTACATATGCCAGAGCTATACAGGGCTGAGAGCACTTCTGTCAGCCCTGCAGTTTTGTATTTTGTGAGACTTGCATCCCTTTGCAACAATTTGGGTCTCTCACCTGGGAAAAGTGTTCAGCATCTCATTTGTCCATTCCATTAACGCTCATCGTTCTTCCTTGTCTCCACAGCCTAATCACAGAACGTGCTTTCCACGCTCTCTCTCCCACTCTTCCTAGTTCTCAGCCCTTCCTGCAACTTTTGCTGGTTTGTGTGCTTTTTCCCTTCGGCTGTTACATTTTCATTATTGGTTTTGCATGGGAGTCATCTGGGCTTATACATTGAATAACCTCTGTGGTCACTTACTGATTACATACGCTGGCTGAAGTAATTTATTCACTTTGTTTTGGTGTGAACACGTCCCTTGGGTCTTGTAACTGCTGTAATCACTTGACCTTAGGGACTGTTAAATGCTTTAAACACAGTTATTTTAAATTTATAATTGTTTTCATTAAAAATCTCTTGTAGTAACTGATTTTGCAGTAAACACAGCATTATGTACTGAGGAAGAGTTGAGATGTTATTCTGTCCCCAATGGATTTCTTACTAAATGTTTCAACTTACTATTATTATCTCTGTTCATATTTTCCCCATCCATTCTCGTTCAGTCATACATGTGAAATGAAATACAGAAATATCCAATTATAGCTCTTGTCTTCATAGTGCAATATTTCCTTTCCTGGGTGATGGGAAGTGATTGAATAACCCATAAGAACTGAAGAGAAAGCCAAGATAAATTCTGGCAGATAGATCTTTAATGAGTGTCGATATGTTTATTGTGCTCAATTAGTATGGGCCTGATTGTGCATATCCTTACTTGTGTGAATAATTTGCATCCAGTTTAGTAATTTTTCTCAAACAACCAGGTTTGTACTTTTTTTGTTTAGAGGTTATATCTTAATGTGTTAATTTTTGGGTTCTGCGTTTTTGTTTGTTTTTTTTTTTTTTTACTTTTCCATGCAAGACTTCTATTACAAGGCATATTACTGCACAAACTAGACAAAATCCTGCAGTTGTACAAACAAATAAATTCAGGAGGTGAAATTACTGCTGGTTACTGTCTGTGGAGCCGAGTGTTGAATTTAGCTAGGTTTTTCCTGAGTTGTTCTGGGATTTAGCAACTTAATTGTTTCATGTTTTTTTTCTTTTGAGTCTTTCTAAACAAAAAAAAAGTGTTTTTAATGTCTATATCTTTTAATTTCTGTGGGATAATGACTCCACAAACTTTGTGAATGGTTTAGTGGCCAAATACATATGGGTTTGTACTGGAACAATATTTCTTTGCCTACAATATATGCTTGTCTTTAGCGTAAACATTGTTGACAGAGCTAAAAAAAAAATTCAGCTTTTTTTTCTCTGCACTGTAGTTCCTCGATCATGTTGCTTAAAGTGAGAAGAAAAGAGTGATTATACAGTTTTAATGTGGAGGTTTTCTTATTACACACTGTATATATATAAAACTATTGTCAATTATTTTAAAGTTCATTTTTATGTGAGTGTTAATTATGGAAAATAGCAGCATCAGCTTGGACTTGCTGGTTGTTTCATGGAATAGATGACCAAATGGAAATGTGGTGTTGCTCTCAGAAGTATGGACAGACACTTGGTTCCAGTCTACACCTGAATTTATGCATTAGTGCCATAGAAATTTGAAATTTACTCACCACTATGAAGCCAGACACCTGCCAAAATAGTGTTTGATCTTGAAGGTAGTGTAATTTAATTTGAAAAAAAAAAAAAAATGAGCTGTACAGAATTAGTACAATACTAAGATCAAGCTTTTTTCTTATCACTGCTTAAAAATGCAGGGTCACATTCCACTTTTATCCTTTCTCAGTCTCTCTGGTCTGGCTTAGTTATTCCCTCATTTTATCTGGCTTCATCTCCTCTCCAGGCATGTTTCATTTAGGGTTTTGTCTAAGTGTGTTCCTTTTCTAATGTACACTGAGAACAGTTTCAGTGTGATGAAGTATTTGTTCTTGAGGCCTTTTGCTCCTTAAAAATATATTTTTGATGTGAATTATTTTGGCATCTGACTTTACACTTTTTTTTATTAAAAAAAAAAACCAGTAAGCTCTAAATTTCTCCAAATTCAGAGGGGTATTAGCTC